TTGTGTGTCAATAATAAAGTATTTTCGACGGTTGGTTTGAAAAAAAAAAAGTATTTTCAATGGGACAATTTTTGACACCCATCAAGGACTTTTTCCTGTTGGAAATAAGTATTTATGATGGCAAAATGTCTCTTCCAATAACATTTGACCCTCACTAATGATGATTCGTTTTGCAATGGTTTAAAGGTAGGATCAAGGTGAAATAGTTCACAAGCCGCTAGGGTGCGGCACCGTTTGAACATTACTTCAGGCATTCAAAGGTTGAGATCACATATCACATTAGTAGAAAAGATGAAAAGGTGCGCCTGTTTTGTCTAGGTAGCTTGGGATAGATAGTAAACACGCAAGTGAAGTGGCCTCCGTTGGACGTTGGAAGAAAGAAGCTAATAGAGTCATAGTAGATCCCAAAATAGGCGAATTGCCAGAAAGTTTATCAAATCCGATCCTTGCATCATCTGATCTCGATTGGGTTAACTTCTAAATTCAAGCAGTGACCATAAATAAAGCCAATTGACACTCTCGTCCTTACCACAATTTTTTTCTCATTATTGGCCACCAAAGACTATTTCTGCTCTCAAAATCTTGAAATGGAGTTAGATAGGTTTTAGGAAGGACGTCCGAGGCCTCATCGTCCTTGTCCTTGTCTTCCTTGACCATCCATTCTGAATGTTCAAAATTGGCGGGCTTAATAGTCTTTGCGATAGCCATCGCCCTTAATTTCTAGCCGCCAAGATTGATTTCCACTTCTCGACATGCTGCCAGATCTGGCGTGATGGCAGCTGGAGGGTCATGTGCCAGTTCTGTGCCTGAAAGCACGATTTTTTGATTTGTAGATGTCTGATTTGTCAATGTTTTCCCTATCGCCGTTTTCTTCTTGACAGAGCGAGTTTCGATAGTTATAAACTTTGTAGTTTTGCACTAGGTCCCTCTAGACGTGCTAAAATGTTGACCATAAAAACTACCAAGTCTATGTGACACGTAGGTCAAGTAGCTACTGAGCTAACTACATCATTCTTGTGAATGTAGGCGTGCCAACTCGCGACCAAGCTCGGTCAAACGAGTAAAATAGATGTGGTGGTCGTGTCGAATGCGTTATTGACTTATGCACTTGAGTAACTACGACCGATGAAGGAACACCTCTCGATCTAGGCTTTTAACACTTGAAGACAAGGTTGCTTAATTCATTGCAAAGTTCAGAATCTTCTGCACTAGTTCAACTGCTTCAACTATAGTCTATATTCGTGAGAATATAAATCCGCTGAATTGGTATCAAGCTGTACGGACAAATATACTAAAATGAAAGAAAAGATGAGAAAACAAAAGGGTTAATAAAAATTTGTCCTAAATGGTTTGATTCCTTGTGGGAGGCTTGCAGCGTGGAAACAAATGCATGGTGAAAATGTAGAGTTCAAATCTTCAGCACCTAAAACTCCCTGTTGCCTTCGTGAAGAACTCTCTCTACCTCTCTCTGTCAATTAACCCTCCTCCTCTCTTCTCTGTGCCCGTGTCTTTTCCGCTTCATTCTCTTAAATCCCTTCAATTCCTTCCCCAATTTCACAAAGTGCCATGGCTGAATCACTGAAGCTTCTAAATCACGTGCCGCGCATGTACTTGTGAGAGAGGCCTTTCCCCTGTATCTTTGACTGGGACCTTTGTCAACCCATTGTCGCAGCTGGTGATGCCAGTGATGAGGGGGATACGGTGCTCCGATGTCTCGCTAGCGAAGTCATTGGGATTAAGGATATTCAATGTGAAGTGGGTTTTGCCCAGAACACAGGAGTTCAAAACGCAGAGTTCAAATTGGAAGGGTGAGAGAGAAAGGAGGAGGAGAGGGATGGTTGCGGTGCGATGGTGGTGATCTGGTTCTTCAAGTTCCATATTTGTTTTTATTTTGGATGATTTTAGATACGGTTCCTATTTATCAACGTTCTTTGATTTAAACATTGTTGTTTGATTTTTTATTTAAATCTTTAAAATTAATGCAATAATACAATTCTACCTAGGTTATTATAATTTTTAAATTAAAATTTGATATTTATAGTTATTTATATTAATAAGATTTTAAATAAAATTCATAATTTGTTGAAAATATTAAAAAGAATTATACTTAAATAAAATCTATAATTTGTCATTATTTATATTAATGACATTTTACATATAAATAATTGGTAATTTTATACTATACATTTTATATACAAAAAGTTGGTACATTTTACAGAAAAAAAAGATGATACGATACATTTCATATGAAAAAACAATGGGATATTTTCACGTGTCTTTAATGATCTTAATTTAAAATTCGGAAAGGATCCACATGTTTTCTCCTTTTCTTTTCCGCGTGACCCTCTCTTTCCCTTCCTCTCTCTTTCCTTTCCGCGTGACCTCTCTCTTTCCTCTCTTTCCCTTTTCTTCTCAATTATTTTCCACATCTCTCTCCTTCACATACTCTCTCTCTCTCTCTCATCTTCTCTCTTCTTCTCCCTCAAACCGAAGCTTTCACTTCTCCTCTGCAACCTAAGACAAATCACCAAAGTCGACGAACCGACGTTCAAATTACCACCATCGTACTCCTTTCATCCTCACGAACTCAACCATATAGACGGAATCAAGAACAAGTGAGTTTTGGAAGTCGAACTCGGAAGCTCCGATCGGTTCGAAATTTTCCCGACGAATTTCCGGGCTAGTTACAAGGTTTTGGAAGGTTTAGAAGTCACCACACAACTCCCCAAGGTCGCTAGTACAAGTTTGAAGACAAGCGAATGTGAAAAAGCACGAGTTCGAAAAATTAAAGTTTGTGCCGTGAGGTTCCAAGCCATTTTCAAACAATTTATCCATAAATATAAATATATCGAATGTAACATTTCTAACACTAAATAAATAATTTAGAAATAAAATTTAATTATCTTAATATGTAAAATATTTTATTATTGAAATAATTAATGGTGTTTATTAAAATCAAGAGACCTTGATTAAAAATTAAAAAAGAATAAGATTTTAATCAATAGAGTTGAAAAAAAGAGAGATGAAAACCTAATTTCTTTTTTTATTTTTATATTTTATTTTTAATGTTGTTAGGTGAGTTAACAGAATTTAAAGGGAAGTTAGTGGTAAACAGGCGTCAAAATATGAGAGGCCACGTAAAATTTTGAATGCAAAAGATTTGAACTCGAAAAGGAAGGTGAGGTGAGCAGGTATGGGATAATAAAAGAAACGCGCTTGGAAGTAGGTTTGGTCACTTCTCTCTCTTAAATACTAGTGTTTGTACCCGACCCCACCATCCCCCATTTTTTAAAATTTAATCAAAAAATTTGATGTGTGTGAGAAATAAAACAAGATGTCTAGATATCACATTTCTATTTCTTTTATTTGGCCTTGTCTAAGTGCGCGGAGGGAGGTCCCATCCCATGTGTCCCTTCTATGGCCATTTACCATTGCCGTCCACTAGCACTAGCAAACTTCCTCCATCAGGAGGAAATTCCATCTCTCTCTCTTTTAAGTCCTCCACTAGGGATATACTATAACCTTTCTTCCGTTTGAATGCAGATTGTTTCTGCGCTGAAAGTGCGCAATTTCGTCTTTATATTTTTTTATGTTTTGTGTTGTTTTATCTCTGATGACTCTCTTGGAACACGCGTACATTTTATTTTATTTTTTTCCTAAAGGCAAATCAGATATATTAAATTCGAAGAGAAAGGTTAGCATCATGGGTCAGGGTGTTAAACAAAAATTCTGGCCCAATACAATCCCAAACAAACTCTCTACCCTCCTTAAAAACAAACTTGGCCACCGAGTGAGCAGCAGGATTGCTCTCTCTAGGCGCGAAGATGAAAGACACGGCATACATTTTATTGAAAGATGCTTTACAGAAAATGCTTTTGGACAAACTTCTCTTTTAATTAAGCATATTTAAAAGAAAATTTTAAAGCAACAGCATTATCAATTATAGAGCATTATCAATTTCACAAAGTGCCATGGCTGAATCACTGAAGCTTCTAAATCACGTGCCGCGCATGTACTTGTGAGAGAGGCCTTTCCCCTGTATCTTTGACTGGGACCTTTGTCAACCCATTGTCGCGGCTGGTGATGCCGGTGATGAGGGGGATACGGTGTTCCGGTGTCTCGTTAGCGAAGTCGTTAGGGATTAAGGATATTCAATGTGAAGTGGGTTTCTCCCAAAACACAGCAGTTCAAAACGCAAAGTTCAAATTGGAAGGGTGAGAGAGAAAGGAGGAGACGGATGGTTGCGGTGCGATGGAGGTGTTCTGGTTCTTCAAGTTCCATATTTGTTTTTATTTTGGATGATTTTAGATATGATCCCTATTTATCAACGTTTTAAACTTTATTGTACTATTTTCTATTGAAATTCTTGAAATTAATGTAATAATACATTTTTACCTAGGTTATTATAATTTTTAAATTAAAATTTGATATTTATAATTATTTATATTAATAAGATTTTAAATAAAATTTATAATTTGTTGAAAATATTAATAAAAAAATTTATATTTAAATAAAATCTATAATTTATCATTACTTATATTAATGACATTTTATACATAAATAATTGGTAATTTTATACGATACATTTTATAAACAAAAAGTTGGTATATTTTACAGAAAAAAAAGATAATACGGTACATTTCATATAAAAAACAATGGAAAACTAATGAAAAAGGCTTGAAAATTTTGAGTTTTAATGATAAATACAAAATAAAGGGTGAAGTGAATAGGACTAGGATTAACTTTTTAGTATAAAAATATGATTTTTCGTTAAAGTAAATAGTACAAGATGCTTTTCGTTAAAGTTTCCAAAAAAAACAATGGCATGTTTTCACGTGTCTTTACAGTGATCCTAATTTAAAATTCAGAAAGAACCCACATGTTTTCTCCTTTTCTTTTCCGCGTGACCCCTGTCTGTCCTTTCTCTTTCCTTTCCGCGTGACCTCTGTCTTTCCTTTCTCTTTCCTTTTTCTTCTCAATTATTTTCTGTCTCGATCTCTCTCAATTATTTTCCACATCTCTCTCCTTCACATACTCTCTCTCTCTCATCTTCTCTCTTCTTCTCCCTCAAACCGAAGCTCTCACTTCTCCTCTGCAACCTAAGACAAATCACCAAAGTCGACGAACCGACGTTCAAATTACCACCATCGTACTCCTTTCATCCTCACTAACTCAACCATATAAACGGAATCCAGAACAAGTGAGTTTTGGACGTCGAACTCGGAAGCTCCGACTCGGTTCGAAATTTTTCCCGACGAATTTCCGGGCTAGTTACAAGGTTTTGGAAGGTTTAGAAGTCACCACACAACTCCCCAAGGTCCCTAGTACAAGTTTGAAGACAAGCGAATGTGAAAAAGCACGAGTTCGAAAAATTAAAGTTTGTGCCGTGAGGTTCCAAGCCATTTTCAAACACTTTTCATCCACTTTTTGAAATTTTAAAAGGTATAGACTTGTTCTACTCTTCATAAGCTTCAATTTCATATAAGGTACGTCGAAAATGGTTGAGAAATGAGCAAAATATGAATTTTTGAAAATTTTCCAGTTTTTCGACGGACGGTAAGGACCGCGACGACGACGCCGGAGGTTGACCCGAGAAGAAGACGGAATATTCTAACGCTGTTAAGATAATTGAATCCGTTACTGTTAACAAAATATTTCGTTAAATCTGACAAAATATTCTGCTGACTTCAGTCACACGTCAGGCTAGTGAGGGCTCGTGCGTGATCTTGGCGGTGAGTGGTTGACACGTACGGATCCGTGACGTCACGTAGAATATTTTCGTATATTTAAATCCTGAGCAAAATATAAAGGGGTTTTCCTAGTATTTTGTATATGTGTTAATTAATTAGTTATTAACGTTAATTCTTTTTATAGGAATTGATTATTCCGATGACATACTAGGTCAAACAAACAAGGCAAGCAGGCTACGATCCAACTATATATTTGTGAGTGAGCATTTGTTTTTATATATTATATAGTTTTATAGTTTCTATATATGCTTTTAAGAATTAATATTATGCCTATTATGCCATGATTTAATTCGATTAAATGTGATATTATACGATTGAGATATAGGAATTGTCGTGGCAAAATCATATGTATTTTACTACTCAAGCATGCTACACAGGTGTATGTACTAGCCCCAGGGCCAAGGATAGTCTTTCATGTGCTGTTCACATAGCACCGTTTGCTCATTAAATGGTTACATCACCTTCGGGTGTTGGCTAGCATGTCTTTACTCCGTCGGGTGTGTCATGGTACTTACAAAAAAAATGGGTACATTACATATAACTAAGTGGCACATTTTTAAAAACAAATGGGATACATTATTAATAAATTATGGGTACAAATAAAAGGTCAAAAAATATGAGTACAAATAAAATTTGAAAAATATGGACATAAAAAGAAATTAATATATGAGTACAAACTAAAACTAAATAGAAAATTGGCACAATTAAAAAAAGGGTTGCAAATTAAAATGGGTACAAACTAAAAATAAAAATATATGATACAAAATTTAGTCATAAATATAAATATATCGAATGTAACGTTTCTAACACTAAATAAATAATTTAGAAATAAAATTTAATTATCTTGATATGTAAAATATTTTATTATTGAAATAATTAATTGTGTTTATTAAAATCAAGGGACCTTGATTAAAAATTAAAAAAGAATAAGATTTTAATCAATGGAGTTGAAAAAAAGAGGGATGGAAATCTAATTTCTTTTTTTCTTTTTATATTTTATTTTTACTTTTTTTCTTTTTATATTTTATTTTTAATGTTGTTAGGTGAGTTAACAGAGTTTAAAGGGAAGTTAGTGGTAAACAGGCGTCAAAATATAAGAGAGGCCACATAAAATTTTGAATGCAAACGATTTGAACTCGAAAGGAATGTGAGGTGAGAAGGTATGGGATAATAAAAGAAACGCCCTTGGAAGTAGGTTTGGTCACTTCTCTCTCTTAAATACTAGTGTTTGTACCCGACCCCACCATTTCCCATTTTTTTTAATTTAATCCAAAAATTTAATGTGTGAGAAATAAAATAAGGTGTGTGGATATCACACTTATATTTCTTTTATTTGGCCTTGTCTAAGTGCGCGGAGGGAGGTCCCATCCCATGTGTCCCTTCTATGGCCATTTACCATTGTCCTCCACTAGCACTAGCAAACTTCCTCCATCAGGAGGAAATTCCACCTCTCTCTCTCTCTTTTAAGTCCTCCACCACGGATATACTATAACCTTTCTTCCGTTTGAATGCAGATTGTTTCTGCGCTGAAAGTGCGCAATTTCGTCTTTATATTTTTTTTATGTTTTGTATTGTTTAATCTCTGATGACTTTCTTGGAACACGCGTACATGTTATTGAAAGATGCTTTACAGAAAATGCTTTTGGACAAACTTTTCTTTTAATTAAGCATATTTAAAAGAAAATTTTAAAGCAACAGCATTATCAATTATAGAGTATTTTTAAGTATGTGAAAGTGACTAATCCTTGTTCCAAATTTTCAATTTTTGTCCTCCATGGAGCCTTTGTAACTTTGTGCACAGACTACAATTTCAATTTTTCTGTGGTCAACTCCAATCTAGTCTCAGGTGCGACTGTAGTTCAGATTCTCTTTCTGCTATCTGGTCCAAGAAATAGAGAGATGGAGTCGATCGGGACTCTGTTGTACATGTGTTGCAGATCATTTTCTTCTTCGCCTCCTGCGGCTGATTCTGATGTAGCTGATTCTGCTGCCGATTCTACTGCTGTTGTTGATGATACTGATGCTGATAACCCCCCACGTCGAGAAAAGTATGATGTGTTTATCAGTTTCAGAGGTGACGACACCCGCCTTGGTATTACCAGCCATCTTCATGCTGCCTTACTTGAGAAGAAAATTGAAACCTACATCGATAACAGACTTCAGAGAGGAGAAGAAATCGGACCTGCCCTTCTAGAAGCAATCGAGAAATCCACCATTTCGGTGATCATTTTCTCACAAAACTATGCTTCTTCCACCTGGTGTTTGGATGAGCTTGTGCATATACTCAAATGCAACAACAGAGAAGGCCGGATGGTTATACCCGTATTCTACGACATCAATCCATCTCATGTACGAAAACAACACGGGAGTTATGCAGATGCATTTGCTCAACTTGAAAAACGATTCGCTAACAATATCGACAAGGTGCAGAAGTGGAGGGATGCTTTGACGACTGCAGCCAATCTATCTGGGTGTGATCATTCAAACAAATCCGGGTAACTAAGTCATTCTTTAACTTGTCTAAAGTTATAAATTTTCTTTAAACTTGTGACAATTTGATTTGTGCTAAGATTTGGTAAACCGTATTTAAGACTAACTATTGCTTTTCTACCTAATCATATACATCTATACGCCAGGACGGAAGCAGATCTAATTCAGAAAGTTGTCGGTCATATTTGGACCCAATTGTGTCGCGAATCATCCTGTGATTTAAAGGGCTTTGTTGGAATTGAAAGTCGCATCGAGCACATCGAATTGCTGTTGGGCATTCATTCACCGGACGCTTGCATCGCTGTAGGTATTTGGGGCATGGGTGGTATTGGCAAGACCGCCCTTGCTGAAACTGTATTTCACGGACTCTCTTCTAAATTCGAAGCCTCCTGTTTTCTTAGAAATGTTAGGGAGAGAGAACAAAAAGATGGGCTAGAAAACTTGCAAAAACACTTCTTAAGGAGATATTAAAGGAAGAAAGTTTATCCATAGGATCAACTTATGTTCGAGAAAGGCTCAGCCGCACAAAAGTCCTCATTGTTCTCGATGATGTGAGTGATTCAATGCAATTGGAACGTTTAGCTGGCGATCGTCTTCTGTATGGCACTGGAAGTAGAATCATTATCACAACTAGAGATAGGCGCACACTTGGGCAAACTGTTGAAGAGGATAATATCTACGAGGTTGAGGTACTAAAACCGGATGACGCTCTTCGGCTCTTCTGTTCGCGTGCTTTCAAGAATAAAAGTACTCGTAGAACAGATTATAAGGAGTTGGCAGAAAAGGCGGTGGCTTATGCCAAAGGCGTTCCTTTAGCTCTTACAGTTTTGGGGTCCTTGTTCTTCAATTGCAAGAGCAAAGAAGAATGGGAAGATGAATTCAACAAATTGAAACGATTTCCCTGTGAAGGTATCCAGAAAGTGTTGAGAATAAGTTATGATAAATTGGGAGACAATGAAAAGGATATTTTTCTGGATATAGCATGTTTTCATAAGGGGAAGTCTGTGGTTAAGGTAAAACGAATGTTATATGTTCGTGGATTCTTTGCGCCATCTGGAATTAGAATTCTCATTGAGATGTCTCTCATATCAATTGATTCAAAAGTGGGAAGGGAAACCATAGAGATGCACGATTTGCTACAAGAAATGGGAGGGAAAATTGTTCAAGAACAAGGTATTAAAGATCCCGGTAAACGAAGTAGGTTGTCCAATGATGAGGATGTCTATCGTGTATTGAGGAGTAACACGGTAAGAGCCAAATGCATTCAATTTTTTTTTCCTTTTTTTTCTTAGGAAAAAAAATTACAAACTTGAGATGATAACAGAACAAAGTAAAACTAATTTATAATAAAGAAGTCAGATTGTTAAAAGATGAATTTGATTGAATTTTTACTGTGTTAGGAAGTGTTTGGAATATGAACAAATGTTTGTTTATTTAGACAAGTAGAGGAGGATACAATTATGTTGGATATTTGACTAGACTAAGACACTTGTACATGATTACCATCGTAAATACTCTTTGTTCCAAATGTGCGTTACATTTTAATATGTTTATATTCACATTTAAACTTTCTTCTTATTCTCAGGAAACTCCAAATGTTGAAGCCATACAGGTTAATTGGTATAATCTTCAAGAGCGACCATTGGAACCATTGGAACATGCAGACTTCAAAAAGATGTCTAACCTAATAATGCTAATGGTGGATGGTCGCTTCGGATTCACCGCTTCTCTAGACCTTCCCGATTCTCTTCGTTATCTTAAATGGAGGGGATATCCACTGGAATCTTTGCCGTCAAAATTTTCTCCGAAAAATTTAGTTGAGCTTCATTTGCCAGATAGCAAAGTTAAGAAGGAGCTTTGGAAAGAAGAGCAGGTAGATTATATTATATGCCTATTTTAATTCTTGTATAAAATCAAGTGTAGAAATTATATTAATTCTTTATATTTCTATTTCAGTTGTTGCAGATACTTGTCAACTTACAAGTGATTGATCTGCAAGGCTGTTCAAATCTAACTGAAGTTCCAAATTTCTCGGGGAGTCAAAAAATTGTGGAGATAAATCTCTCGGGATGTAGTAGTTTGGCTGAAATTCCTTCGTATTTTCAACATCTTGACAAGCTTACTCATCTTGATCTTGAATTCTGCTACCGTCTCAAGTATCTTCCAGAGATGCCAGGAAATATTCAATACTTAAATTTAGAATGTAGTGGTATAAAGGAGTTGCCTGAATCAGTTTGGTCTAACGAAAATATTTCTTACTTGAATTTAAGGCAATGCAAAGACCTTGAGAATAAACCAAGCAGTATGTGTAAGTTGAAAAATCTCGAGAAACTAGATCTCGATTCGTGCTCTAAATTTGAAAACTTTCCAGAGATTTTGGAGCCAATGGAACATTTGAAGTCCTTAAGTTTAATTGGAACAGCAGTTACAGAGCTACCCTCATCAATCTGTAAGTTGAAATATCTTGAGAGTCTTGATCTCACCTATTGCAGAAGATTTTCCAAATTCCCTGAAATCTTGAAGCCAATGGAACATTTGGTGTCTCTTAGTTTGCCCTACACAGCTGTCGAAACGCTTCCTTCGTCTATTGGAAATCTAAATAGGCTTCAAGATTTAAACCTTAGTAGCTGCTTTCAACTTAAGGATGTCCCAACAAGTATCTACAGTTTAACCAATCTTAAATGTCTCAACTTTGATGACTGTGGGAGACTTGAAAAATTGCCTTCTAGCTCTGTCGGTTTTCTCTCTTTAGAAGAACTAGGACTCCGCTACAGCGGTATATTGGAAATACCAGCAAGCATCAAACAAGCTTCTCGGTTGTCTATACTCGACTTAGAAGGCTGCGAGCGGCTTCGATCTATACCAGAGCTCCCAGTGCTATGTAATGTTAAAGCTCAAGGCTGCACGTCGCTGAAGATAGTGTCAAGTTCAAGGACAGCACTCACACAAGGTT